AATCAATCAGAACCCCTCATGCACAACGAATATTGAACACAACACAACGTTTTCTGTTAAAATTGCCATGAATCCCAGATTCAATAACCAACAATTAATGGTAATGATAAATCTGGTTCTGTTTCTAAGCTACAGTTGTTGTTATATTCTAAATTATAAAAATATCTAAGCAATAAAGCTTTAATGTAGTCCAAAGATCCCAGGGTTGCCTAGATAATCGAGTAGTATTAATGTGTACAAAGACGTATATGTACATACTTACTTGCGAACTTGTGCTGTGGGCTGTGGGCCAATTCTCGGTATCAGGTAACAAAATTTTACTCACGTTACTTACAGTCTGAGGACTGATTCGAACCCCCCGTTTACAGCATGTATTTAACAATTTTTATACAATATCTTATTTTTTTGCTCACACATATATACATGTTTAAAATATGAACAATACTTGCACCAAACTTGTTGAATAAACAAAATATATGAAGTAGAAAGTGATAATATATAGGTATAATTGTAAAGATGCAGTGTAAACGACAGAATGTTTTAAACAGTCGGAACAAGTATTCTTATAACAATTTGAAATTAAATCTGCCAGATATTTTCTATCGGCAGTATGTATTGCCAAACACTTTAAAGATCATAAACAAAAAACACAACCTTACTTATTTTCTGGAATAATTTTGATATTTTAGTTTTTTTTATTGCCTACGAAGGCAGACGACCGGACGGGGCACCTGATGTTAAGCGGTCACCGATGCTAATGGACATCAGCAATGCCAATGACACAGCTGCTGCCTCCCGTAGAACACTATTTAAGCCTCTCTTAGACCCGTATTATGGAAAGATTCTCAGTGATTGATCTAGTCTTGAGCGTAGTTAGAAAGGGATGTCGCTATATATAGCATAGAGCGACATCCCTTCCTAACTGTACTCAAGTAAAGGTCAACACTTATTTGTCAGTCTGTAATACGAGCCTTAAAGTGGACGAAATATACTTTATTCCTATGGGTAACTTTAAGTGGCATAGGTATCACAAGTCTTGAGTCTTGGGTTCACAAAATCTTCAAGTGTAGCAAAGGACGGGAAGGACACAGTTTACAGAGATCTGGTAAATTAAATCAGTCCAACTCCATTGAGTCGTTTTTGCGTTATTGATTAACACACATCCTACGCACTCTCACATTTAAAATATTAATAGGATGTATACTCCAAGGAGAGATACCTTAGGAACAGGCGCAAGTGGTTAGCGCGTTCGGACAGCAATAGTGAACAACTTTAGCAATGACCGGTTATCGGATGGGTGAGCAAAAATTTATTATAGTAATTTATGTTATTTACGGGATTGTTACCAATGTAGCTTGTTTTTAGCAAAGTTTCCGAAATTTCAGTTACTCCGTGATATTGGCGCTTGCCAACAGTGCCGAAATATCGGAAACTATTTATATATTAGCTATTATAATTCAAGAATTCCTGGACCGGGTAGAATTTACGTTCAATAAGCTATCTATGTAGTTTGATTTTAAATTTACTGAAAGGCAAATCTCTTACTGAATGTGGTATATTATTAAATATTTGAATGCATTTGTAGCAACAGTTCTTTTTAAAATATGAGTTTTTCGGGATTGTATCAACGACTAACCTTTTACAATGTCTTGTAGGAAATATCTCTCGGGCAGTTTTAAAGTAATTTTGGTTTAACTTTACGAACTTAGATATCTCTAGGATATAGAGGCATGGCGTAGGCAAAATATTTAATGGTTTGTAAAATGGTTTGCATGACATATCAGGCGCAATCCCGCGTATTGCTCTTATGCACTGTTTCTGTCCTATAAAAGCCCTTTGTATGTCCGTACTGTTACCCCAAACAATAAGCCCATATCGCAAGACTAATTCCACATAAGCTAAATATGCTGTTAGGGCTGTATTTTAACAAAGAATCAGGTAAATTTATCATGCATTCATATATCTTAGATAGATTTGGTATTAGTGTAATTGGTCGATAATTCTTTAACTCTTACCTAGAACGTTTTTTAAAGAGCGGCTTAGCAATTGAATATTTCAGTTTATCTGGGAAAGTCCCAGTTTCCAAAGACAAATTTATTAAGTATGCTAATATTGTGGTTATCTGATCACTGCAGCTTTTAATAACCCTTGTGTTAATTTCATTATTGTTTGTATTATTCAATGCCATGATAGTTTTCTTAATGTCACATGCGTTAATAGGAGAAAGATAAATTGAATTAGTTAAGTTGTCACATTTGGTTTCTTAAGATTATTTGCATTATTATCTCTTATCTGTTAGACAAGTCCGTCCGTCCGTCCGTCTGTCTGTGGTGCTGTTTCAGCGGCCAAACCGTAAGAGATAGATAAAGAGAATGTTTAAGTTATAAGTTAAGAATAGTCTGATAAGACTACAAACCGGATTTGAGTAACGTAGCACTTCCGGTTTTCGAGAAATCACGAATTTCAAACGAAACCACACAAAATCTCCGAAGTTCTCAATTAATTAAATACTTTTTTTTTTAATCAGGTTTTGGTGAACATTTGGTTCACTGGTTTGCTAGTCATTATTATTACATTTTTTATCTGACAATGTAATAAAGAAGTAATTAAAATAGAAGCGATTATATTTGAGTCCTAAATACATAATTGTGTCAACAATGACACAATTAAACCTAAATAATTCATTATTGACACATTTATTCAGGAATTATTTAGGTTTCATTTTGTCAATAAAATTGTTGTAACACGATTCAGGACCAATTTCGCTTTTTAATACATTCCAAGTTGCCCTACATATATTTTTACTTTTTAATATAAATTTATTAATTGTTAATTTTTAGCTATGAGAATGCACGTTTTTAGCAATTTCGAATATTTTTTTATATTTTAATTTATTATTGCTATTTAATTTCGTCAAATGTGCAAGTCTAAGTTTTCTATTTATGAGACAGCTCTACCTGAGTCCTTTTGTTATTCACGACATATTTTTCTTGGTGTTATTTGTTATCTTATTAATAGGAAAGCACGGTTTGAATAGTAGACAAACCCATTCATAATAGATATTGAAGGCGGTTTGGGGGTCCTTTTCGTAGTAAACTTCAGAGAAGGATAAACTTTTAAGTAACCCTGGAATTTTTCAATATTATCATGTGACTAACAACTTTTGAAAGTGAACATTGCTTTTTCTATTTTTGGTTTTATTGTGCTATTGAACGTAAGTATCTGGGCAGTATCATGATCAGAGAGGTAGAGCGGGATTCGAGAACCAGAGGCCCCTGCGACGTTACTGAATATGTGGTCAAGGCACATGCTCCCTTTAGTTGGTTGAGTTAGGTGTTGTTTTAAGTTGTAATTTTTATAGCATATCTGAGAGTTGTTTAGTTGATTTAATTTCAGTGAGAGAGAATATTTAAATTTATGTCACCCAATATTATTAGTCTATTTTTTTATTATATTTACTAAGAAAATTATATAGTAAAGTTTCAAATCTGTCAAAAAATCATTCATAGTGTCTCCGTTTTGTAGCAGTTGAGGATCGGTACAAGCAAACAATGATAACATTTTGTGCAGGAATACCAGCAGCACAGTACTTAAAATGAAAATTTTGTGAAATACTATGTAATATATAATCTGGTAATATTTGTAAATGATATTACATTTTTGACTAAAATATTAGTTCTTGAAAAATGTGATACAAGTTGATAATTATTAATATTCATCCCCTCGCTTTATAAAAGTTTCTGAAAAATAAATGACATCTGAAAATAAACAATTTTGTTCTGACAATGTAATCTAAATTATCTACCACCTTTCACTTTCTCAATAACATTAGTTCGGCCCACAGAACTGTCCAACGGAACTAGTGGGCATAAAGGCCATTGTTAAGCATACTGTCCATTTGAAATTGGGATAATTCCAGTAAAAGGAGGAAAATTCAGACCGAAAGAGACAGTTTACTTTTAACACACACATACAATTATTAATTATTCATGGAGCAATCAGTGTTGGTCATTTCATGGCAAAGTTGCGATAACACGTTGGATCTTCTTTAGTTATACCTTTGAAAATGTTTAAAATTTACCCTTTCCGTTGCATTAAGTAAATATTTTTTTATATTATGATTTATAAATAAATATGGGTACTTGTTGCTAAAGTCAAATAGGATCTCGTGTCAAAATCTCATGTTAAGTAGGTTGATGTACCTAGGTGTTTAAACGTCTTTGAGGTTGGTAGTAGTCCGGCATGCTTGACACATGCTTATTTTCTTAAGATTTTCATGTAAGCTTGACAAGGAGACATACGGGTACTCAATAGGTATATAATATCAGGGGAGACAAACAGAAATTATTTACAGTACTTACAGTACTATATAAATTCTGATGGATATGTCACCGACGGTGGCCATCAGGGGAGACAGGAGTCCGAAGGAGAGAATTGGCCTACGGCACAAGTTAGCGAGTATGTATTCGTTCATTGTACACATTAATACTACTCGATTATCCATATTTTGTTCAATAGAAAATAAGTAAGGTCTGGCGGCCCTAGGATCTTACTCTAATAGGCGTATCTATTCGATCGTTAGCCGTCCAAAATCATCTTCAATAGCTATAGTAAAGAAGGTACCTATTTAGAAAGACAAACTTAATATAAGATACAGGTACAGAGTATAAAGAACACTTATTGATGTTTATGTTTCATCCAAATATTAATAACGCTTTGCAAGTAATCAGTCTGTATTCCCTAGTTAATTTTAAGCTAAGATAATGTTTTTTCCATTATCTCATCATCATCATCAGCCGATGGACGTCCACTGCTGACGTCCATAGGCCTCCTCAAGGGATTTCCATGCATAACAGTCTTGCGCTTAGAATATCTACCCAATCAAAATGGAAACGGTGTCCATAGTGTTGACGTCGGTAAGTATCACCCTAACAACACATTTTGTAAATAGAACTTCTTTTTCTATTAAAGAAGAAAACTCAAGAAGATACTTTACTCACCATGCTTTGCATCGTCATCATCATCAATATTCAGTTCTCTCTTGCACTGCGTAGGCACGGGCGACACCAGCCAATTGCGTGGCTTCTTCGCGGGCGGGCTTTTCTCCTCCAAAGCTGTGATGTCCACTTCTACGTCGTCAGCGTCCTCGGGCTCTCCGGGCTCGGGCGGAGGCGCGGGCGCTTCGCCACCTTCCAAAGACTTGCTCACGAAGTCCGCCAGCCGCTCCATCACCATTACTGCCGACAACACGCGTCGCCGCGCGCGGCCATCGTCCGACACGCTCTACGAACTACGGCTAGTGACAGCTCTTTCATACGCCCACACTCCCAGAATAATACTCCACCATATAAAAACATCCCTACACGTTATGGTAATAAGATTTAAATTGCAGTGTTGCACCCCCAAAGGCGGTGTAGCAGACTCCGCCTTATGGCCGCGCAGGCGCCCGCCCTGTAGCGTGATGGAGCAGTGTGCAACACGCCTACATTATCGTTATATTGTGGATGAATGTTTAATATAGTCCTCTTTGTTGGCGTGCGAGGGACATGAGTGGCAGACATTTTGTGGGATCGATCAGTGTTATGGTGCGGATGGTAATCGTTGGGACTTTTAAGGACTTTCAAGCACTTTGTTCAGAGGAAAATAAAAAGGTGAGCTTTAATAAATTACATATTTAATTATATAATTACTGTTCACATTGCACAGAAAGCTTCTAAAATATAATTGTACATAATTATTTAAAAACTATAAGTAACGTATAAATTATCTAAAGTAATATCAATCATTTTAATTATCCAATAGAAGAAAATTAAATATGGAGAATATTTGTTCCTGTAAATGCTATAATACAATACTAAACATTAGAAACTAACAAATATAATTCATTTATTTATCATATATTGAGCCTGCCTGGATTTTACCTACATAATGAGACGAACGTTTACTTTAAATGAACTTCTATAAACTGCACTAATTTCTTTGTAAATATGTAATTTTATGAAGATATTGTTATCTTGTAACTTTATTTTTTAAAAGAAGACCTATGACAGAATATATCTATGTAGGGACCTAGCCGACATATATTTCATCTCAGAATCATTTTAGCTGATTGGACCCTGCTAGAACCTCCTATGTCTATTTATGTAGGTACTACTGTCTCTATTATTATCTGTGAGAGTCATTACTGTGATCCTTGAATTCTAGCCGAAACTCCTCGTTACAATGGTTAAGCAGCACGTTGTCTAATTTCAAGTGTTAGCAGTCGAGTGAATTCTATATGCATAGCCATGTCTAATATAAAAGTAATGTGACATCGCTTAAATCTTCAACGTTTAGTGTATAGCGTCGGTATCTACATGATTGCGGTTGTTATAGCGAATCCAAGTCAGAATTTTTCGTTGCGATGTATGAGTACGCAGATTTGGAGCAAGCCAGCTTGGCTTGCTACTACAAACCATCGTTATTTCCTAAAATAGACGATACCGACTTAAATCGGATGTAGTAATCTTCACACCTGGTTACGTCATATGCTTAGTACGTGCGATAAAACGCCGGTATCTACATGATCCCGGCTGATATACCGAACCCGAGTCGGAATTTCCCGTTAGGATGGTTGCGCAGCGCGGATATGACGTGGCCAGCTTGGCATATTTGCTGCCGAGCGCGTCCTAACTAGAAAAATAGCCGCTACTGACTTAAATCGGATCTAGTAGTCTACACGCCTGGATCTGTCATATGCTAAGTTCGTGTAATATAGCGTTGGCATCTACATGATCGCGGCTGTTATACCGAATCCAAGTCGGAATTTGTCGTTGGGATGGTTGAGCAGTGCGGATATGGCGCAGGCCAGCTTAGCGTGCTTACCCCCCAGCGCTCGCTGCAGCGTGGCACCCACCAACCCATCCGAGTCCGCTGAACCCCGCACCGTCCACTCTTCCGTGCGCCACTCATATGCTAGTGTAGCCACCGCGTGTCTGATCGCAAACCCGACCTACGGAGCAACAAGGACTTTGGTAAATATTATTACCAGTACATTGTAAAATGTTGACTTTCGTTGCCATTATTCGACAGTTGCCCATTCGAAAGTTGAATTTAAAATCTTATACTTTAAGTCAGACAGATGAAAACAAATAATGAATAGAATGATGCCCATTTCTATTGCCGCTTGAACAACAAATAAATGTATTATTACATACCTCAAGCATGGCAGCCACAGTAAGGAACGGCCTGATGACACGCGCATAGCACAGGTCGAGGCCTCGGTTGCCGAGTGTAGCGCTGATGGATTGGTCCTCTGTCGCCCATCGACCGGCTCCAGAGGCCGAGCTTAGCTCCACCGCGTGACCCCGGGCTACAACTTCCGCACCAAGCGACACCTGTTCCGTTATAGCCTGTGGGAAAATAAATTGTAAAATAATCAAGAAAACGCGTAAAGATTATACTGAGAAAATATATTTTTGCTGCGGAATCCAATTTCCTCCGTTTCAGGCAGTGAGTAGTCGAAGTATCTATTATTTGACTTAAATAAGTTAACAACAACATACACAACGTACATTTATAGTCGTACTATAGATGCTACATATAAAAAAAAAACTTTTCTCATGTTGCTTGCCTGCAAATAATGTAGAGCTATGAATTCCTTGTTAACGGCGATAATCGAAGCCGTAAAACTATGAAAATACGCATCAAAGATGCTTTCAAAACTGTAAAATTCGGCATCGGCTATCTGAGCTACCACAGTGGCCCTGGTGCTCAGGGTAGGGCCCACGCGTACCTCGCAGCTCATCTGGCCTCCAGGCGCGGCTTCCATTACAAAATACGGAAGGCCAGAGGGCTTTTCCTTGTCCACATATGATAATAACACCTTGTAACCGCCAGGCGAGACTGAACTACATGACAACGTATGCCCCAGTACCCAATTGCATCTTTGACTCTGTTTGACGGATACGCTGCCGCCTTCGAAACATTGTGGTAGTCTGTAGCGCGCAGCGTTGTGGATGTAGCGCAGAAGGCCAGGATTGACAGCGCCGGCTGGCAAATCAGGTTCTTTCTCACACACGCGACCTGTACGAGATCCGGTCACGCCCGCTCCTGTTTTGCCGCGGTCGCCCGCCTTACATTTTCTATTGTCTGTCTCCGGCAAGCACGCACAATGTTTTTCTGGTGTTTCCCCACATGGGCTTTCGTTGTCATTGCCCCTCGGCGTACTGGGTTTCGAACAACTTTTCGCGTGAAGAGTCTCGAACAGGCCTAACTTGAAAAACTTAAAAAGTGACGCTGAAATATTTGTAGCACTGGTATCTTGAGTATTCATTTCTGCTCGAGTATTTATTAAGTTTTCCTCGAAAAATAACAAACAATTATGTGTTGTAAATCAATAACATACCAAAACTTATGACTAAATTGACGTGACAGTAAAGTGAATGATCACATCAACAATGACAATCAACAGGTAATTTTAAAAAAAGAACCTTTTTAGTCGCTAGTTTTGTGTTTCTGCCAGTGATTATTGTTTCCAGGGCTCCACGTGGAATAGGATTAAATTCAGGCTGGCAAGGTGAAGATGGCTATTTAAGCCGGATAGCACACATATTACATGAACGCCGAAGGGATCCATATCGTCTCGCCTTTTGGCTTGCCGTCAAGCAGGCATCCACCTAACGTAAGCATGTAACGTAAGCCACGGCATACGGCTAGGCGACGCCGTACTTACGGCTCGTCGACCGCTAGACGCTAGTTGATGGCTAGGCGGCCCCAGTTGATCAGCCATAGAGAAAGTTATCACTCCATTTTAAGAGTCGGCACTTCCTAACCACTTCGGATTACGGTTGCCTTGTCTATGGATAGCACGTACATCAACGCAGGCCGGGAGGGCCCTGAACGAAGAGACCTAAGCTAGGGTACGGAGACTTTAGCTGGGCAGAGGGCCGGCCCGAGCATTCTTGGCGCCCTAGGCAAAATACTGAAATGGCGCCCTTTTCGGAGTAATTTTTATATTAAGATCCGACAAATGACTCCACCCCACAAGCCGGCCTATTCGCTCACTTTTATTGACATTTACAGTGTGTAACTTAAGAGAAATTTGCATATCCATCGATGCTTTTCAGAACAAGTATCTTAGTGACGTTACGATAAAGCAGTAGTGGATCACTAAATAGCTCGGTGATTATCACTTTCATCTGTCAAAAGCAGTTAGCGAATAGGCCTACTGATGTTAACTGGCGGTGGAGTCCAGATGCGAAATCTCAGTCCAGCAGTTTTACCTGCCACACCAGCCATCCTCATCTTGGTGGTCTACAAGTTGCTTCTTTGTGGTTCTTTTAAAGGACCCGAATGGTTGTAGGTATCTAGGAGGGAGAGATCACATAAGCGAGTGTAAAGGTTTAGAGTGTAGGAGGTTAATAGACCTCCTTAAATTAGAAAATCCTTGGGAGATTGCTCAGCTTCCATACATGTTTGGCCTAAAGACCAATAATCATGAAAAATTGTTTCCTAGATTCGAAATTATATATAAATTACTGTAGAAACGAATATTATTGAGGGACACCCCTGAAAACTTTAATAAACCATATATTAAAATAATAAAAAACAAATAAGTTATATAGTAAACTGGGAAAATCAAGCCAATTACCGAAATTATGGATTAGATTCAGATATATAGAGCATGTAGATTAACAGATAGTTGCCTGTTTTTAAAGTTAATGCATAAGAGTAAGAGTAACTTTTAAAATCGGGTGTCATTTCCGGCTATAATAAGATAGGTACTCTGTGACAGAGACTGTGTGATGATTGTGAATGAGCCACAGATTAGAGACAATTTTTAAACTCTCGTTAACCAAATAAAGCTAAGAGATTTTCACCCATATTCTTAGTCGTTTCCTCGAGATTTTTTCCACTCGACTCAACCTCATTGGAGGAAATTCGTATGCTTAGACAACAAAAATATCCTTCACTTGAGATATTCCTCACTCGAGTGGAGGTCGAGTCGAGGAATAAACTGTCAAACTCAAGGTAGCTCTCGACGTACCTTAAGGCTTCCTCGAGTGGTGTTTAAGGTGTTTTCAAGTTTTATGTCTGATTTTGAAATTATTGACGAATTTGTGGATTTTATGTATTACGTATATGATTTATTTATTTATTTATTCAGTAACACATACACGATGATTAACCATATAATTTTCCGGCGCGACGGTATTTACGTGATGCTGCAAATCCTTTTAAGGTTTACGACAATGATTCGTTTCAAAGAAGATTTCGGTTTAGAAAAGATGCAGTCATACAAGTAATACCTCTGTTAACCATTATAGAAAAAAAATCCTCCAAATGATGACGTCACAATGTTGAGGAATTCTCAGTGGAGGAATTCTCAAGTTTGTTCAAGATACCAACTAGAATACCATTTTCGAGGTTATTTGGAGGAACTCCTTAAGGAGCCCTCGAATGAGTTTGAGTCGAGGAACGTTTGAGGACGCGATTAAGAATATGGGTGTTAGGTTCTATAGCCATGTATTCAGTAGCTTCATTATTATTGTTATGTTTTTAAGATAACCATATTTTAGATTTTTGGTGTAATACACACCTTTTAATTTTATTTATTTATTAATTTATAGTCAGGGAACGTGGGCCCATAGATAGATACCTTAAAGTCTAAAATATATACAGATTTTAATGTGTTTATAGAGGTGTTTGGCGAAAAATGTATGGCAATAGACTTTATGATGTCGCCTACCATCTATAATAATTGTCTGAGCACATTTGCATCTAGTGAAAATGATAATATAGTTGTGGATATTAATACAGTGTAATAAAAAAATGATTTATTTTATCGATCTTTACATAATAGATTTGTTTTTATTGTTATATAAACAACTTCGATCAGTCTTTGGCTGAATGTTACTACAGCCATAGCCATTAAAAATGATTCGTATGTTTTCCAAACCGGTAAAATTAAAAGTCCTTTTTAAAGTAAATATATTATACAAAGGTGTCCGTTGAAATCTAATGACTGTAAATTAAATTATAAATTACGCCAAGAATTACCGTGTATGACAATATTTTTTGTGCATTTAGGCCAATTTGAATAATCTCCTATAACTTATAATAAATACTTAGAATACAAAAAATCTAAATTTGTTGAGTTGATGTATAGTAAAATTGTTTAAGTTAAACCCTAAACCTAATCTAGTTATCTTAACCTAAAAATAAAACAAAAAAAAATATTTACAAAAAAAATATAAAAAAAACGACCGAGCCTTACAGTAGTCGCGTATGATGTGTATAACTGGTGGTTTTTCAATTACAGCACTAGCGCGCATAATGAGGCATAATGCTTAACGTTGAATGTTTTAACTACAGCAACGCTTCGCACAATCGAGCACACGCAAAAGTAATGTTTTCGTGTGATGCGTGTAATCGTACCAACTTAATGACAGAAAATTAAGTGTTTTTTCTTTAAGTTGGCATTGATCGAAATGTTTTATTTATCGTTAGTATTATTATTTATGCTGAAAAAATTTTTAAAGCTTTCGTTTTATTATAATAAAACCTACTACAAAAGGAATAAGCCATTTGAACATTATGTTCTAAAATCAAATCAAATAGCGCGCGCTTTCGCGACTTCCTGTTACACACTTCCGTCCCATTTCACGAAATCACTCCCACAAATTGAAGGAAAGCAAGAGGAAAGATGTAACCCTGGCTGCGCGGTACGTTTAACGACCACGTTCACTGGCACGTGATCAATCTTTTTTTTTGTCTGTTGAGTGAACGGTGGCGGGAGCGTCACTTCGGCTGCATCGCGACCAAGGAACTTAAATCCTATCTGGAATGCTTACGTGACGTGACTATCAAAAGCATTCCGAAGAGCAAACCTTAATGAGTGGAAGCTGTCACTTTTTAATAGTGTGTCAAAACAGTAACATTTGAGCAAGGAACTTTTATACTAACTGGAATAATTACGCGACCCTCGTGGAATCTGTTTCGTTCTAGTAGTGTGCCCAAACAGTTGCAAGAGAGGGACAGACTCCACTTTCGTCGTTGTCGCGCTTGGAGTATTTTCCCCCCTTATGAAGGTAGACACGAAAATGGACTTTGTGTATAACTAGTTAGAGTACATTTTTTGAATTCCCATATTGTTTCGTAAGCATTCCAGTTAGTATATAAATTCCTTGCATTTGAGATAATAATTTTTCCCTGGGTGAAGTAACCTAATTTTCAATTCTACATCCTTAGTTTGAAAGTCCAAAAAATATTAAAATCTTTAAACGACTTTCCGAGCTGGGTGTGTTAATTGGATCGTGGTGGATCCTGGCCCAATCTCCTTGTTCTATCCATAGGAAAGGCTCCTTTCCGTTGGAAAATAGAAAATGTTTACACATACGTAAGATTTGGTTTAAAAAGGGTCAACAAAAGTTGTCACCCATACGAGGTCCCTGACCCAATATTGCGAAAAATAGGGACAAATGAACCTCTATGAAGTAGTTCGCCCCCCACTTTTTGAATTTTATTATTATCTAGGTTGTTCTGGATTGTTTTATGTTTGTTCAACATTGTTCCAAAGTATTATTTGTAAAAAATTAAATTTGAAGCTGCCAGACAAAAAAAAACGTTTTTCTATGGTAGACCCCCATGTTTGGAAATTTTTTTTTAGTTGTTCCAATTTGTTCTAGTTGTTCCTCACATGTTCCAAAGTATTATTAGAAAAAATAAAATTTGAAGCTGTCAGACAAAAAAAACGTTTTTCAGATAACCCCCCATGTTTGGAAATCCAATATTTTTTTAGTTGTTCCAAGTTGTTCTAGTTGTTCTAAAGTATTATATGAAAAAAATAAAAATTGGAGTTGCCGGGCAAAAAAAACCTTGACGGCCGCGTCGAAATTCTTCTAGCCATTCTTAAGCTGCAAGGGTCCGCGTGGATTTTTTTCTAGTTATATTTTCTTTAGATTTAAACATCAAGGAATTACATGCTTAACAAAAAAAATATAACCGACAATTACTTTAGATTTCAATATAGGTACGTCTTATAAATCGAGGAACACCGGCTACATGCACGAAGAAGCGTGTCGAAATGGGACGTTGTCACGAGTTAGTTCAACGTTCCGCGGTTTATGTGAGGTGAAGTTAAAAGGTTCCTTGGAATTATTTGGGAATGCTAGATTATAGAATTGTGTAGTAGTGAATTTTTTATTGTATTATTGTGCATATTTAAATTTTGGCTATCAATAAAAATAGAACAGAAATACTGCGTTTTAATTATTATTATTGATTGATAAATATGTACCTACTATAACAATATATTGTTACATTTGCTTACCTTCTTTTAGATCTCTCTATTATAATCACACATTATCTCATACACACATTATCCCTATATTACT